ACTACACTCTGCACTATGTGCAGATCCCGGAGTGGCAGCTTTTGGACTATAGCTTTGGGTGGCTGCCTTCAGTCCAGAGATCCCGAGGTAGTCCTGCAGGCATCCGCAGGCCCCGGCATTCTATTCTATCTATATATTCTGTTTTCATTTACTTCAGAGACATACTGTATCTTTCTTTCCAGACAACTGTTTGTAGTATTCATAGACGGTCCGTAGTATTGTGACACCGGTTCCGGGTAGAGATGCACTTGATGTTGTCGTACTTGTTTTTGGCTTAGTTATTAGATTATGTCTTCCGCGTGTATTTAATTAATGTTAATATTTCACTGTTGATCGCATGATGATTTAAACTGTTAAAAATGGTTAAATAAAAGAGTTAGCGAATCTATAATACTTAGCTTGCCTAGCTTTCACGAGTAGGCGCCATCACGATTCCCAATGGTGGGAAATCCGGGTCGTGACAATTTAAGAAAAAACCGACAAATAATCGAAAAAACCGAAAAGCCGACATAAACCGAATCGAGAAAGAACCGACTTAATTGGTTTGGTTTGGTTTTAATATTTGAAAAACCGACTTACTTGGTTTGGTTTCTTTTTAGGGAAAAAACGATCCAAATCGAACCATGAACATCCCTACTTTTAATAATCTAAAGCGCGGTGGAGCAGGTCGTGAGTTTGAAACAATTTGCTGAAATTTTAAGGAGAAATTCAAAAATAGCCAGATTTATAAGTGGTCATTCAAAATTAGCCACAATTTCAAAAGTAATCGAAATTTAGCCACTTTTCATGTAAAGATAAATCTGAACAAAAACACTGTTCAAAATTCGGAAAATACTCCAGTATAATATACTGGAAGTTCCAGCATAAGGATACTTGAACTCTAGTATATTATATTGGAGTTCCATAATAATATACTAGACTTCCAGCATAATATACTGGACTTTCAGTATAATATACCGTTCCAGCATAATATGCTGGAAGTTCATACACAGGTGCTTCAATCTCCAATATATTATGCTGGAACTTTCCGTGTGTTGGAGTTCTAGCATAATATGCTGTAAGTTCATACACAGGTACATCGATCTCCAGTATATTATGCTGGAACTTTCTGTGTTGCAGCAAAATAGTGGCTATTTTTCAATGACTTTGCAAACGCTGACTATTTTTGAATGACCAGTCTGAAAACTGGCTAGCCCGTGCTATTTTACCGAAATTTTACTGTTGATGGAGGGAATTTTGCTGCTGACTTGTTTGGGCTCTCGAACGACCCATTTGATTAAAGGGGTTTTGACACAGTTACCCACAAAAATAAAACTATTTACTCTTGTCTACTCATTTATTTTTCTACCCATAAACTAATTACATTTCCTACCCATAGCAGTTTTTGTGGGGAATTTTTTCTTTATTCNTTTATTCTCCTAATTTCTTTTTTATTTCTATGTCTTTCTTTTTCTTTTTTTCTTTTCTGCTTTTCTTTTTTCTCGTTTTCTTCTTATTTTGTCTTTTCTTTTTTCCTTTTCTAATTTTATTTAACTTTTTTTTATATATTCTTTTTCTCTTCTTAATCTACTTTCATTTACCGTTTTCACTATTTTTAGTATTTTTTTTTATACAATAAGAAAAATAATTGATATAGTAAATATTTGTTCACCTTTTCTTAATATAACTAGTACAATATGCCTTTTGTTTTTTTTCTTCTCATTTTCTAAATTCAATTATTAAAACTGAAATAATATTAGTTGTCATTTGATCTAATTCACTTAATATCACATTGACTGTTGTTGAGCACCATAAATTACATAATCAGATTATAAGAATCAACACGTGATTGCCATGCAAACCTTAATCTCCTTCCCTATAAATATCAATACACACTCTACTATTAGCATTAATACAACCAGTTATAGAGCAAGAAAACATAATCTAAGGCAACCAAATCTCTATATATACTAGTTAGAATAAAAATGATAATAAAATATTAAAAAATGCAACATAACTATAAGAGCCTGTTTGGCTTAGATGATTTAGAGTAGCTGATAAGCATTAGGTGCTGATAAGCACTTTTAAGTGCTGAAACTGATTTAAAAAATAAGCAGTTACGTGTTTGGATAAAATAGCTGGAATTAATAATATGCAGCTGAAGAACTGGGTATACGAAGAGTTTTGTTTTAAAAAGAAGTATTTTAGGGATAGAATAGTAAATATTTTGGTCAAACTTAAAGTACTTATAAGCTGAAATTTGATAAGTTGGGGGGAAACCAACTTATGGCTTTTGGCTTATTTTTGGCTTATAAACACTTATAAGCATTTTTAATTTTACCAAACGCGTAGATAAGCCAAAAAGTGCTTATAAGCCAGTTTGACCAAAGCTTAGCCAAACACCCTCTAAGTAGCAAAAAAGACTTCTAGTACCATGTGATACCAATATGGTATATATGTATACCAACAGAGCATATGATTTCTCTAGAATATTGCTACAACTATATGTGACTATACTACTGTACCAAAATATTAAAGGACGCAATAAAAGTATGAGAAAATTACATGCTCGTATTGCAAGCTAATATTCGCAAAACAACTTGCTCATTCCGTATACTAAGAGGGTATATAGTTGTATGGGGTCGTTCCAACAATTGCCTATAACTATAAAAACTATTACATAATACGTATAATTTATGTCCATCGGCACACAAAAATTCCAGCATTGCAACTCATGTTGATATAAATAATTTCATAATGGAATTCACTTAAAATGCAGCTAAAACAACCAAAACAATGTTCAAACTACCATATGATACCAATATGACATATAACTATACCAACATGGTATACAGTTTTACTAGTTAATTCAACTATATGACTATACTACTATTACATAACACACATGCATAAAGAGAAAAATAAAAAATAGTGTACCACATATTAATATAATAAGGTACAACAACAACAACAACCTAGTAATAATTCCACTAGCGGGGTCTGGGGAGGGTAGAGTATACGCAGACCTTACCCCTACCCATGAGGGTAGAGAGGCTGTTTCCCGGAGACCCTCGGCTCAAAAACGAAAGATCTGTAACAACAGCAGAAAACATACAAATAAGATCAGCACCGTAAGTGACAACAAATAAGTGGGAAGGACAATAACTATGCAATAATAAAAATTGGAAAAAATATAAAAAAAAATTAAAAAAACTAATAATAATAATAATAAACAAGAAATAGAAAGTGTGATGGAATAATAACTGCTAGCAGTCCTATATAAAACACTATCAGACTAGCCAGAACAGTGAAGAAAAATGCTCAACTACCCCCTAACCTACAACCCTAATGCTCGATCTCCACACCTCCCTATCCAGGGCCATGTTCTCAGAAATCTGAAGTTGCGCCATGTCTTGCCTTATCACCTCGCCCCAATATTTCTTAGGCCGCCCTCTACCTCTCCTGGTACATGTCAAAGCCAACCGTTCACACCTCCTAACCGGGTCATCTGGGCTCCTCCTCCGCACATGCCCGAACCATCCAAGTCTCGCTTCCCGCATCTTGTCCTCTATGGGAGCCACGCCCACCTTCTCCCGAATATCTTCATTTCTAATCTTATCCAGCCTAGTGTGCCTGCACATCCATCTCAGCATCCTCATTTCGGCTACTTTTCATCTTCTGGATATGAGAATTCTTGACTGGACAACACTTCGCCACATACAGCATGGCCGGTCTAATCACCGCTCTATATAACTTACCTTTAAGTTTCAGTGGAACCTTCTTGTCACACAAGACTCCAGACGCTAACCTCCATTTCATCCATCCCACCCCGATACGGTACATGACATCTCCGTCGATCTCCCCATCTCCTTGGATAATAGACCCTAGGTACTTGAAACTCTCTCTCTTAGGGATGACTTGCGAGTCAAGCCTCACCTCCCCGTCCGCTTTCCCCGACACATCGCTGAATTTGCACTCCAAATATTCCGTCTTGGTCCTACTCAACTTGAAACCTTCAGACTCCAGGACCTGCCTCCATACCTCCAGCCTTTCACTAACACCGCCTCTCATCTCATCAAGCAGAACTATATCATCAGCGAACAACATACACCATGGCACCTCCCCTTGAATATGGTGTGTCAATGCGTCCATTACTAGGCAAATAAGAATGGGCTGAGCGCAGATCCTTGGTGTAACCCCATAACTACTGGAAAGGGCTCTGAATCGCCTCCTATAGTCCTAACCCGAGTCTTAGCTCCATCATATAAATCCTTTATCGCCATAATATAAGCTACTGGCACACCCTTCACCTCTAGGCATCTCCAAAGAACGTCCCTAGGGACCTTGTCATACGCCTTCTCTAGATCAATGAACACCATGTGCAGATCCCTCTTCCTATCTCTGTACTGTTCCACCAACCTCCTGATAAGATGGATAGCTTCTGTAGTAGAGCGACCAGGCATGAACCCGAACTGGTTTTCTGATATAGACACCGCCCTCCTTACCCTCCCTTCCACCACCCTCTCCCAAACTTTCATGGTATGACTTAGTAACTTTATACCCTATAGTTGTTACAATTCTGGATGTCCCCTTTGTTTTTGTACAACGGAATCGTCATACCCGCCTCCACTCATCTGGCATCCTCTTCGTCTTGAAAATAACATTAAACAGCTCAGTCAGCCACTCCAAGCCTGCTTTACCCACATACCTCCAAAATTCAACTGGAATCACGCCTGGTTCGATCGCTTTGCCCGACTCATCTTACGCATTGCTCCCACGACCTCCTACACCTTAATACGCCTACATTACCTAAAGTCTTGGTGACTCTCGGAGTGCCCCAACTCCCCTAACACGATGTTTCTATCCCCCTCTTCATTTAGAAGTCTATGAAAGTAGGACAGCCACCTCTGCTTAATTTGGGCCTCTTCCATCAATACCCGACCTTCATCGTCTTTGATGCACCTCACTTGATCCATATCACGATCCTTCCTCTCTCTCACTTTAGCTAGCCGAAATAACTTCTAGTCCCCACCTTTACCCCCCAGTTCCTCATACAACCGCCCAAACGCAGCAGTCTTAGCCTCTATGACCGCTAGCTTCGCTTCCCTCCTAACTTCCTTATATCTTTCTCTGTTCACTCTCCTCTGCTCCTCGTTAGTGCTCTCCAATAACTTAAGGTAAGCCGCTTTCTTTGCTTCCACTTTACTCTGGACCACGTCGTTCCACCACCAGTCGTCTCGGTGCCCGCTTGAGTATCCCTTCGAGACCCCTAACACCTCTCTCGTTACCTCCCTTATACAGTCCGATGTCGCCGTCCACATAACGCTAGCATCCCCACCACTCTTCCAGGCTCCATAGTCGCCAACCTTCCCTCCAACTCCTGCGCATTTTCCTTAGTTAAGACTCCCCACCTGATCCTCGATTGCCCCCGTACAAACCTCTTCTTCCTCTTTATCAAGATACCGACGTCCATCACCAGAAGCCTATGATGTGTCGCGAGGTTCTCACTCGGGATCACCTTACAGTCCTTGCATAACCCCTTATCACACCTCCTGAGGAGAAGATAATCAATTTGAGTCTTGGCCACCATACTCTAGAAAGTAATCAAATGCTCCTCCTTGTTCGGATAAATAGAGTTCACGATCACCAACTCAAAAGTTCTAGCAAATCCAACAGTGACGCACCTCCTCCGTTCCTAACCCCAAAGCAAAAGCCACCATGCACCTCACCATAGCCATCAGCAGACGACCCAATATGCCCATTGAAATCCCCTCATATAAATAACTTCTCCGTAGGCGAAATACCCCGCACCACCTCATCCAACGCCTCCCAAAATCGCCTTTTTACCTCCTCGTCCAAGCCCGCTTGCGGCGCGTAAGCGCTAATGACATTCACAGTGCTTCCTTCAACTACTAACTTAATTGCCATCAATTTGTCACTCACCCGCCTAACCTCTACCACTAACTCTCTAAGATCCTTATAAAATACCCACTCCGTTCTTGCCCTTCACGGCTCCGGAGTACCACAACTTGTACCCGTCGGCACTCCTCGCCTTCGATCCTGCCCGCCTAGTCTCCTGAACACAAGCTATACTAACCTTCCTTTTCTGGAGAATCTTCGCCAGCTCTATAGACTTACCTGTTAAAGTCCCTATATTCCACGATCCAATTCTCAGCCTATATGGACCACCTTGCTCCCCTTACCCCCTATGTGCCCCGTCCCACCCCCTGACCCTTGACTTAACCCCACCCCGCCACCCTCCCTCCCCGAGGACATGACCCTACACTGCCATTACAGACCACAGCCGCTATACCTGTCGGAGTCTATGAAAAAATAGGAATATAGCTCCACTACCAAAATGACTATACTAATTACGTACTACTACCGCTACAAATCAACAAACAGAAGAAGGAGAGAAGTAGGAGGCGGGAGGTACCAATTCCCACAAATACAACCTGAACTTTCGTCTTGGTATATTCCTGATGCTTTGAAAAACCAAAGTTCTGCCCTTGTTCCTGGTGCCTCTGCTGTCTTCCTAATGTCCCGGCGATGATGACTGACCACTACTGCCCTTGGAAATCTGAAAGGGTCCGAAAAAATGGCTGCCTCGAGTTTTTGGTGCCGCTGGTTGAGGACTGAGTGTCGTTACTAGTGTGGGTCGTGATTGTTGGAGACTGGTCTATGGTGTTTGGGTGTTTGCTGGAAGACCAGATCTAGAAAAAGGGGGGAAGAAACAGAGAGAGAGAGAGAGAGAGATCGCAGGAAGGGGGGGGGGGGGGAGAGAAGGCAGAAGGAGAGAGAAAGCAAGAAAAGAGAGAGAGACTTACCTGGGCTGCTCTACGCCGATGATGGGTCTGGACGGGAAACTGAAGGGAGGCGTGAAAAGTGAACGTTGCGAGAATGATTAAATGCGGCTAATACAACCAAAAAATGATTCAACTAGCATATGATACCAATATAGTATATAGCTATACTAATAGGGTATATAGTTGGAATGAATTGTATAATAAAATGGTATATTTGTATACTATTTGGGTACACAATACAAATTCGTCTTCTTCTCTGGTTCAACTATATTTCAACCCAAATTTCTAAAATTTACTACAAAATCTCCACCAAATTGACTAAAACTTTAGCTACAGCCTCCAATCAACTTTTCAAACTAACCAATACAGGATCGGATCAAAACAATTAAAAACTCAAACAAACCTAGAAATGAGTTTCAAGCTTCAAGGTCCGTCAATGGTGGATTTAAATTTTTGTACAATAAATCTCCAAAAACCAGCATCAAAGGTACATCTACACATCAAAGAACAATAACTAACGAATTTCAACAGTAAAACACTATAAAAAAATTAGATCTAACATTTTGAACTCATTCATATGGAGTTTCAAAAATTGATATGTTCTTCCTATGATCTACCGTTTGGTTCCTCGAACACAAAAAATACAGTTAGACAAATACTATCATTTGGGTGTTTACTAACTATTTAGTGAGAAATTCCAGATAGGTGATATTACCATAAGTAGATATTACTATATTAGAAAAAAATACAGAAGAGAGACTGTAGTTTCAGTGATTCAACCTCAGTTCGAGAAAGCAGTCATGAGGAGAGAACATTGTCATTTCACTTAGTTACATAAAAAATTCAAAAGGGTGAAGGAGACAAGAATATGCTCGATTGTGTTTTCTTTTCTTTTCTTTTTTTAAAATGGTAAAAGTTTATGCTCGATTGCTTTCAGAAAAGTTGCCATTCAAATCTCAAGCAGGTCATAGATGTCTACTGGAAGAGTTTATACAAAGTTAATAACCGGGTAAATAGTTTGGGCACATGGGTAGGAGTAGTAAATACTTTAGGCCTAGGCATTAAAGGATAAATAGTTTGGAATTGATGGGTATAAAGTGATATTTTCTCTTGATTAAATTCTTACATTTGAGAAAAAATCGTTTTAAACATTACATTACAGTTTTTAAATTATATATTTTCAGCTAATTTAAAAATTGTTATAAGTCAACAATCATAATTGAAGTATGGTTTTGAAAACTCAAACCAACTTCAGACATATTGATGGATTCAGCAAACCGCTTTTGTTCGTAGATTTCCTCCCTATTTTTAGTTAAGAAAATAGCACAAAATTGATATGTTACCACAAGTTTCCTAAGTTTCCTCATTAATTAATAATTTGAATTTTCAACTCTTTTCTAATTTTCACAATGATTCACAAATTAATGCATTTATGACAAAATGAAGGGCGCATAGAATATTTGAATTATCTTCTTCTCTGATGTTTTGATCATATTTTTCTAAATTTTATCATTAAATGGCATAAATAAAAATAGGTTAAACCTAAGTTTGTCTAAAGTTCAATTTTATCCTCAAATTTTTTCCACTGAAGACAAAGTCTGCTCATCTCTTAAATAGAAGACCCACATTATAATTTAGTTTGTACCAAAATAATGTTTCCTTTCTTATGATAAATTTTTAAACAATAAAGTAGAAAAAAGAAAGAAAAATACTTTTAAGTAGAAAAAAAACTTTGGGGCGGGGCGAGTTTATGCGAGGCTGATTGAAAATAGCAAATTTTATTATGTGGGGCAGCGTAAGTGGTTTAAAATTTTCGTAAGTTTATGCGATTTACCCCACAATCGCACCAACCCGCACTATTTGCCATGCCTAACTTTGTCCTTTGTGAATTAGATCAAGAACAAAATTCAACTAAGCTATTCGCGCGTCGAAGAGGTCATAGTTATTTTGTTGCAATTGTATAGCTCTAAGAGTGGTGGTTAGATTCAGGGGCGGTTCAAGCGTATATGGGGCCTAAGGCGAAAGTTTAATAGGAGGCCTTATTTTTTATTGTTTGTCAAAATTTTGTCAAGAGCTCCCTTTTGAGATTTTATTAAATTTCAACTTTTCTTTTCTTTTGTATTTTTGAATAACCAAATGCATATTTTCTTGTTGACATATTTATATTCTAAAAAAAAATTAAACAATATGTACAGAGTAAAATTAATAAAATAATAAATAACAAATAAAAGTAATACTAGAAAGTTAGAATGATATTACCTAATGACTGACTGATTCAAAAAGTTTGGAGACATTGATTCCAAAATATCTAGTTGTTGGCTTGTTGGAATCTTGGAGAAAGAAGGAAATCCAGTAGAAAGAATTAAGAAAATGAGCATGGAGTCTTGTGGAATGGGAATAATGAATGCTCCAAGAAGGCCTTAATAGCATGGGATAAACTATGTTTGCCAAAAACACCAGGGGGGCTCAACATAACAGATATATGCATTTGGAACAAAGCTGCTATACTTAAACACTACTGGAATTTATGCAAGAAGAAGGACAGATTGTGGGTTCAATGGGTGTGTCACACCTCCTTTTTACTTACTACACCCGCAAAGGTATAATAGAGGGAGTTATTTCCAACTTGAAGTGACAATCGAAACGGGATTATTTAATTAAAAATCAGAGTCGCCACTTGGGAGATTTATGGCGTCCCAAGTCACCAGTTCAATCCCGACCCGAGGAAATTATGACTCTGTTAACAGTCCGCGAACCAGAACTCCGAGTAAGGAATTCTGTTAACCCGGGAGAAGGTGTTAGGCATCCCGGGTTCCGTGGTTCTAGCACGGTCGCTCAACTGTTGTATTTGATTTTATCTGATTTCGAAATATGTTCTAGCTTATGTGCTTTTATTAGTAAACCGCTTTTACTTTTATTTTTATTTGATTTTTAAACGAATTGCAACGTCGTGAAAATGTGCCTCAAATCACGTCGCACCAGTGCACCCGTGATTGTTAGCACATTTCGACTTCGTTGAGATTTGGATTTGGGTCACATCAATGTGCACCCGAATTTAGGGAAGTAATATTATTAAAGTATGCGCCTAAACCACCTACGCCTTTGGCTTTGCGAGGGCCATAAAATTTTGCTAAATGGCACGCCTCGGATTCTAATCATTTTGATATAAGCAATTAATGAGGGCCCCGCAATTTGTGTGTTCTATTTGGCGAGGCTCATCTCACTTTATTATTTAAAAGCCAACCTAAAGCAAACTGGGGTTTCTATTTAATTTGTCCCTAACAAAGTCTGATTAATTATTGTTAGTAAAACATCTTACTAAGACCTTTTAACAATTTTTCTTTCGGGCCTGAACTTGGCCCAACAAAAGAAATCTCAGCCAGCTTGGTGATTGGCCTGCACTTAGGCCTAAACGAGTGAGGAAAACGTCAATTAACACTGGGCCCCAAACGGATCCAGGCCCAGATATGACTTTAAAGGGAACAATCATGTTTTGGGCCTTCAACATGGCCCAGATTATTTTATCTTCAGCCTGTGCAGAACAAGGTCGACATTTCTCCATGACAATTGTGACTTATTAACTTGATTACCCAGGCAGATTGAACTAATTAACCAATGTATTTGAAATTGAATTAAACCATTAGAGAAAGACTAAACGAAGCAGCATGCTCGATGCTGGACTCTGCCTCTGTGCTAATATCAACTCATAATCTGTTTTGGATTTAATTTATGCTAATAGTTTAATTTCTAACTAGACTTGAATCAATTGAAGACTATTAACTTCCTGGACAACTTATTAATCACAGAAGAAGTTCATCAAGTACAGGAGAGGCTTATGACCTAAATCGTTTTTACAATCATGCTTCCCTTTTATAGAACGAAATCTAATTAACAGGATATTAACATTTACCTCACTATCACTGAACAATCAATTCAAGCCTGTTAGTCTCACACAGTTCTAATTACACAATCACACCTAAATCGGAATTAAGCTACTATTGAACTATCAATATATAACAGTCCATATCAGTTCGAGACAGTCCATACGAATGGTCCAGTTATACAGTCCAGTTAACAGTCTAGTATTTACACACATACTACAAAATTGATTCAACACTTCAA